CTTCCGTTTCTTCTAGGCGGGGAAAACCAGTAAACTTGTGTTTAGCAGCACTCCTCTTGGCAGCTTTGTAAATCTGATAGTACATGAAAAGCATCACTGACATTGGGATATAAAATGCAACTGCTGTGGAGTAAATGGTGTAGCCGAAGTCTTGACTGATCAGACAAACCTTTTCGTCATTTACATTTTGGGCCCAACCGAAGAGCGGGGGTATGGTGATCGAGGCAGATAACAGCCATACACACAGGATCATTTTGGCCATACACTTCCCGTTCTGCCTTACAGGGTACGTAAGAGGTCTTGTTATTCCCAGGTACCTAGAACAATAATGCAGAATTACCATATAGTGCAGGGTTTAACTGTTAAAAGTTATTTCGTGTAGTCTGCTCTAAACCAAAATCTTTGGCTAAGTTTTCTATTTCATATTTTTCAATACTCACTTTGCATATATTTCCAAATTATAAATTCATTTGTCTTTCACGTTAAAATTTATAGTGTTGATATTTATAGAAAATGTCTTTTATTCCAGAAAGAAATTTCCCTTTGGCCCTAATGGACTGTGATTTTAACCAATCTGCACAATCTTCATGCAGGTAACTTTTTTTTTTTTTTTTTCTTTAAATGAAATCCTGAAACCTAAATTTGCTAACTTATGAAATCCTTGAGTATAGATGAATGCTCAGTCCACAAAGCCTATCGCTTTTTGTATTGAGTGAATGGTTAAGTTACATCAAGCATTCATTTTCATTCTTCTCATGTATTCAACAGTTAGGAAGATCCCTGCCACTATGCTGAGACAATGAGTTGTCTTTCTTACCTTCATGTTTCAGACAGGAACAAACTGCAAACATATACCAAAAGCAGATTATTTCAATACTACAAGATTCTTTTTATCATCATGTAATTAGAAAAGAATATATTTATTCAATGTCCAAACTTCTACCAAACAAAATAAAAATCTATCACAGTTCAAGAAGTCCTGGGGAAGAAAACACAATTTTACAGGTATGAAAAAAGGTTTTAATGTGTCCATTTTTTCATAGAAAAAAAAATATTTCCTATTCTGCAGTATCTTAAACTATGTATAATTTTCAAATTAAAAAATATAACTATGGCTCTATATAACCAGATAATAATATCCTAAGTTTGAATTTACTCTCAGCTACAGAGAGTTTGCTTTCTAGCTATGGGAATTTTCTCTTAGATGGAATCAGACGCTTTTTTTTTTTTTACATCTAACATTTTTAGTTTCAAATTTTGTTTCTGCTCAGTTGGAACTTGCCTATGACTTACCATTAACTTCTCATTAAGTCCTTTTTTGCTTCTTCCAAAAGAAAGAATTTTGAAAAAATCAGTGTGATTCACTTTGTTACTTGTAAAACAAATGGTTTCAAATCAGATTTCTGAAAAATGTTTTGGTTTCAGGAGTTACCAGTGTTTACTTAGTGAGGGTTCTGAAGGGTTACAAACAAGAAATGCAGTAATGTGATTAAAAATATTTTGGGGGAGCATGTTTTCTCTATTCACTTAGCATATCAAATATGAGATTTGTCTGGCTCTGGGGAATGCTGCATTGTTGATTTTACTGCAATGCAGTAAATCATGGCTGGTGCTCTTGCTTTGCACAAGCACCCAGGTATGCTATAGTTATGGAAGGAAAAAAAAGAGGCATCATTAAATGATCTGTTCTGATGAGTAACAACAATTCTTCTCAACAATGTCATTGATTTTATATTGCTGGTATGACAAGTGTTGCACAAAGGACAGACCAGTTTACTGTGCCCTGCTCTCAACACGATGCACAAGTAAATTACAGTAGGCCAGTATTTTGCCAGTGAATCTGTGCCTGGAGCTAAGAACTGTTACTAAAATTGTCTGGGATTAAAGGAGTGCAATCCATGATGTCAGACAAGGCTGCTTCTTGTGCCCCTCACCATCAGTATCAGAATATGGTCATTGGCTCAGCTCCAGAAGTAATGGACAAACTGCAGAGACCATGGACTTTTCTGTTTTACAGCAGTATGGTCAAAACCATTTGCACTCCCAAGGAGCCACAAGTTTTTCAAGGTGCTCCAAGATATGGAAAAGCAGAGTTAGTGCAGTAAAGTTTCAGTTTAACTACCTGAGGGACAGATCAAAGCGCTTTAAGCAATGTAACTGCAGCAAGGGTGAGTTATTAGCTGCAGCCTCTCTGGGACAAGAGCGGCACCTTGTCATTAACATTAGTTAACCCTTAACATTAGTCCAAGAATAACACAATTTAGCTACAAAACATTGAAACGCATCCTTTGTGCAGAAAGACTACTTGCTGTTTACATTCTGTTGTTTTAAAAAAATCTTTTAAAGTTGGTCTGAAGTATGCGTTTTTCTAGCTAATACCCTATTGGTCACTAAAAATAACACACTTCTGAGGTGCACATTATTATGTAGCTAAAAAAGTTAAGCTGGGTTTCTGTAAAAATCAGATCTGTGGGCTGCATGCTCTGAGTTCCTACTGATGCATTCTCATGCACCAGAATATAACAAAAAGAATTCATGAAAGCATAAGTATACTGAAAAGAATTAAAATTCATTAGTTTTGCCCTGGCACCACTTTTTTTGGAGTCTATCTGAGCTTCAGAAATGCTATTTGAAATTAAAATACATTAATTATCATAAAAATACACTGGCATCCTTTCTGCCTTATTCATTTTGCTAAATGTAGTATGATAGGGGGAAAGAAGTCACCAGGCACAAATGAAAGAATGTTATCTTTTAATCTCTATATATGAAATCCATTACCCTTTAAAACTTATTTGCAGCTCCAAAATAATGTAGATCACTACTGTTGTCTAATTCACTGGAGAGTGTTCAAGACTTAGTAGATTCATGAACTTCAAAAATATTGTGTCAAAATCAGTGTAAAAATATGCTTTGTAATGCTTAATCTGTAATTACTACACTGAAAAAAAATTCAATGTAAATCAGCTGAGCTTAACATATTAAAGAATATGTACCACCTTGAGGTCTTATTGCTGGCAGAGAATGAAGTCAGTCCCTAAAAAGCCCGTTTCATGTATCTCAGCTATCCCCCACGTGAAAGAAAGGTCTCAGACTTGTTATTCTGAGATTTATTTCTTTTACATGCCACAGATGTTCATTTTGATCTTTGTGAAGAAGAAACTGTGCCTCAGTTCTCACTTGTATAAGAAGGGCAATGCTGTTTGGTATTCTTTCTCCTCTGAATTTCATGACTATATAATTTTGCCAGACAGGCTTCTATCCATATTACACCCAGTACAGTGAGACCTGTGTCTAGGTAACTCCCCAAAAACAAAGAACTGCAGATGAACAGCCTTTATATTTCTTATGAACTGGTCATGGCATTTCTCATTCAGCACTACTTTATGCTGTAGGCAGAACACTGAAGTGCAGGATGCTGTACCAGTTGGGCAACCCCATGAGAGGCACAAGACAGAGAGCAGTCAGGTCCTGCTGCCATTCCAAGGCTGCTGGGTGAGTGGAGAACAGTGAGAAGGAAGAATCTGGTTATTAGACTAGTGTCTAACAGATACAACAAAAAAGGACGATGAAAACCTTTTTTCTGCTACGTCACTGAAATCTGGAGTGAGCCCCTCGCTCAAAGACCAGACAGCATAGACCAAAAATGGTGAAGGACAGAGTTAACTTCATTTTAAATGTGTGTAAATGCATGAGCATGTCCCCATTCTGGGTTGGTTTCTTATTATTTCTTCTGTGTCTCTTCTTCCTTGTAGGAGGATTGGAAACTGGATCCTTTGCTACAGTCCCATTCAACTCCAGGGAGGAAAAATTACCCTGTGCCATCATTTCTGGAGCTCTGTTCAAACATGGGAAGGGGGAGACTAAAGAAGTCCCTCCTTTGTTGTGGTGCTATTGTCAGCTATTTTATACAATTGCCATTTGCCACATTCACACAATGAACACCAACAATGGAAAAGGTAAATGAACAACTCCTTTCTTTTTGCTTTATAAAATTCTGCCTCCCTATAATCCAGTATTCTTTCCCAATATCTCTGAGTTGTTACCATATAATGACAGGCAATTGTTACAGATTAATGTAGAACCATTATAACTGTACTGAACTGCTCCTGAGATCATTCAGTTTGTGGGGTTTTTTATTCTGGCTTTTCTGCCTGATACTGATGCATTGCAATGGCCACACAGAACTGTTTTTATTCTACAGGGCTAAAAAAAGTCTCTATTGTCACTTGACCACAGAGGCAGTTCTTACTAAGATATGCTCTATATATTAAATGTTACAGTATGCATTAAGATGTAACATATAGATAATAGATTGCTACATATTTTATCTCTCAGTGATTTTTTGCATTGCCTCTTCCTCTCTTCATTTGTCTTATTTGCCCGTTGTGATGGCAAATAAGCTTGCACAGTGATTATCAGACTGCAAGCACAGTGATTATCAGACTGCAAGCTGGACTGCCACCACGACTCACTAGAGGTGACTATAAACATGAAAGCTTGCAATACAATTTCTTTCTTTGTGAATATATTTATTTCATTCTCTAATCTAGGGAATTGTGAAAAGTAGTTTGCTTTATCTGCACAACGATGGAGTGAGTTCACATAGCCATCTACTTATCATCCACTAGAATAACTTTCAGGAAGATCTTTCTCAACACCTACATATTAATAACTCTCCATTTGTGGCTGAATTGATTAGTAATTCTCTAGATGTAGAAGATGTCAATTTTTCCTCCAGGAACTAAAAATCAGGAGTGCCAGGCACTGCAGTTTTTCAAGTAAACCGGGCATGAATTTTTTGTGTGTATGTGTGTGGTGTGAACCTGATTGTTTTTTCAGCAGTAGAAAAGTCAATTTCCTTTTCTTTGTGGTTGTCATGGTTTAACCCCAGACAGCAGCCAAGCCCCATGCAGCTCCTCACTCACTGGTCCACCAGTGGGATCAGGTAGAGAATTGCAGGGCTAAAAGCTGTAAAACTCATGGGTTAGGATAAAAAAAATTTAATAGGGAAAGCAAAAGCTGCACATAGAAGCAAAGCAACACGAGGAATAAAGTCACTGCTTCATATGGGCAGACAGGTGTTCAGCCATGTCTAGGAGAACAGGGCTCCATCACATGTAGCAGTTCCTTGGGAAGACAAACCATCACTCCGAATTCCCTCCTTTTCTTCTTCTTCCCCCCACTTAATGTATTGAGCATGATGTCATTTTCCTGATTGGCTTTTATGTTCATATAGGTTATTCTATGTAAAAGCAAGTCCGAGGGACAGAGCGTCTCTTGCATTGTGTAAATACATCATCTTTGAAAAGAAGAG